ACTGCACGAGGTCAACACGCACAACAAGCCAGAGACTGCTGCACCGTCTTCAGCCAGCCAGCCCGTCAACTATTATCTTGACCCATCCAGAAGAGATAGTTGTGTGCTGCTGAAGATGGTGAAGGTGCATCTGCACTACGGGGCCAAGAGGATGGAAACCTATGCCATCCTCGACGACGGCTCCGAACGCACCATGCTCCTCCACCAAGCGGCGCAGCAGCTCGGCCTACGGGGACAGAAGGAGGAGCTAGCCCTGCGTACCATCCGCCAGGACAGCAGGACAGTGCCTGGCGAGTCAGTGTCCTTCTCTGTGTCATCTGTCACTCACCCACAGAAGAGGTATAAAGTACAGCGGGCCTTCACCTCACCCGAACTTGGACTGTCCCCCCACTCACACCCAGTTGAGGAGCTGAGAAAGGCTTACCGACATCTCAGAGGTCTGCCTCTCCACTCCTTCAAACAAGTTCAGCCACTCCTGCTCATCGGTTCTGACTACCCAGACCTTCTTGTACCCATCGAGCCGGTGCATGTAGGTCCTCGTGGTAGTCCTATAGCTCTGAGAACACAGCTTGGATGGACACTGCAAGGTCCCGCAAAAGTCCTCAGGCACAGGTCGTCCACGGTAACCTGCATGTTTACCAGCACATCAGCACCATCAGCTGAGGTTCTCCAGAAGGGCCCCAAGGCGTCGCAGATGAACGTGTTGCCCTGCCGCAACAAGAAACCCCTCAACCGGTCCAAGCAAGATGCTGCCGCTGCCAATCTGCTGGCAGTGAGATCTCAAGTGGCCCCAGTCACTCCACAACAACAGTCCATCCCCCGACTGGAACTCTGTGCTGCACACACAGGGTCTCAGTTGGGCTCTGTACTGGAAGAAGAAGCACCATGGCCTATTCACCCTGAGCCTCCACCTCAGACCACCGATGACTCTCAGTTGCTTAAGTCCCAGGAGCTGCTGGAGGCCACGGTCAGAGCCTGTCACGGGGCGGCGAGGCAGACAGAGTTCAGCGCTGAGGACGACAAGAACTCGGAGATGGTCTTCTTCAGGGAGGTGCAGAGAGACTCCTGGTGCTGTGACTCTGACTCCATCACTCCCAACATGCTGCTGATGGGGCGGCGTGACCCGCCCATGCCACAGGTGGTCTACGCCGACATCCTGAGCTGGCGCAGGTGGAGACACCCCCAGCTCCAGCGTGCCCTGTGGCCTGTGGGCAAGGTCACTGCTGTCATCCCCGGAGCAGATAGCAGAGTACGGACACCAGCAGGTGCAGGTCAAAGACCGGACCTACACCCGTCCAGTCTCACGCGTGGTGAGACTTCCAGCGCTTCCCGAAGGCACTTCTGCCTGACATTCATGGCTACAACTTTGTTCCACAAAGTTGGGGGCGGCTGTTCAGAATTTGGGCGTCAAGGTGTCTGGCCGTCACTGATCACGCTCTGAGTGCATGCTCAAGAGAGCTGTGACCCCTGTGATTGGTCAAGACCCTTGAGCACGAGCTGGACACGAGCTCATCTGCATAGCCATAGCGTCACGAACCTGTTTTATAACAGGATCGAAGGTGCGCAGGTCAGTGCAGAGTGACCCGAGGAAGCAGCCACGCTGGACCGTTTGTTAATGCTGGAGTCAACTTCATTGTTCTTTATTTCACGGACATTTCAGACTCCAATGTCCATATTCTATGTTAAGCCGTGCGTCTCTGAGAACTAAACCACGGTTCACACGGTTCACACAATACACAGTGTGACGTTTCCCTAAAAAGAGTGTGTCTGCGTCATCATTGGGTTATCCATTTGTTCTGGCCGGACAACCTGTGCCGTTTGCTATACATCCACAAACTAGCCCATTATACAGTCCTTTCAGGTGCCATAAATAGCACCATTTTTTACACATGTGTTTGTGTGTGTTTACCAGGAGTATCACCAGTGGAAAAGAATATTTTGGTGAGACAGAGCTTTCCTCTACAAGGTCAAGGGCAAATGCAGCATCTTCAAGACGTTTCCCTCTCTAAGGAGCTTTCACGACTTATCACCAGCCAGGGAGCTGTGATCCGCCATTTCAGAGATGGATCCACAGAGGTATATAGAGGCCCTCGTGCTATCAGGTCCATATTCTGCCGAAGCAAATGCATGTATCCCAAGCATAGCTGGGAGTATTCTTAGGCTTTCATGAGTGCTTTGATGTGCATTTTGTAAGAGAGAGATGAGCACCGTCTAGCTCTCAGTCTGGGGGAGTAAGTGGGCTTATCTTAAGGCTTATAGTAAAAGCAGCCATTTCCTTTCCTTCATTTGTGCTTTCATTACAACCGCTGAGAACTCAAGAGACTGAGTTCTCTGCTTTTAAACTCAGTATTTGCCACGTAATCATCACATGTGCTTTTGAAGATCACATCATCAAGATTCCAGTATTTTTTTAAATCAGTTTGATTGTGACACACACAATGACTGAAGAAAGCAGTTGATGCATAATAGATATGGTTCTGTATACAAACAAAAAACAGGCGCTCCAACAGCATCTGTTTGTCCACACAAGATTTATCTCGTCTGTTCTTTGTTTTGTCAAACTTTCTGGTCAACTGCACATTTTAGCAAGGGCAGAGTACAGGCTGTGCTACAACAAGAAGTAATCATACAGAAAAATGGACCTCAAATTTCACCAGTAAGCATGTCCCTATCTGCATTTGTTTGCCGCAGGTGCTGTTTGCAGATGGTTCAGTCAGTTTCAGCCAGGATTCTGGTCCGGTTTGGGTTCCTGATTCTGATATTCAGGGATCAAACACTCAACAGGAATCTGACAAAGGTTAAATTAACAAAAAGACATATATTTTTTCAGCCTTCATATAAATTTTGCGCAGATCAGAAGAACGATTAGATATCGCTTTAACAGACACTCTGACAACTTTAATTTGTGTGCACAGATCAGACCTCAGAGAATGAAACTGAGACTCAGAAAGGATGTTGGCAAACCACAAGTCCATCTGGAGATCGCATCTGCACCATTGGGACCGAACACAAACACATACCCATCAGCTCTCTTCTCTCATTTAGGGCCACAGATCCCATCACCAATCAGGCAAGAATGTGTTTAATACAATAACTATGCCTCATCTGCATGTTCTGGGAATGTGAAGAAGTATTTCACCACCTCAGCTTGTTACTGACTTCGCTAAGCTCCTGTGACAGGTGATGGTGAGTCGGGAAGATTTGGTGGTTTCTGTCAAGAACCCAGATGGATCGTTTATTGTGGATCATGCAGACGGAACCAGGATCACAAGCCTTCTGCAAGATAGACCACTGAATGCTACACAGCGTCATCTGCTGCGCACAGGTGAGATACAGACACTCCCCACTCACTTCAGAACAGATTTTGATCTGTTAGAAGCACACCTGATGCAGCCTGCTCCATACACATACCGTGTATGCAGTCATGTCCTGTAAGTAATTATTTAGTCACATACATTTACAGTATAGTATATCCATAAAACATAAATGTTTGTCTCTTTTTTCAGGGGAGAAACCAGAAAATTTTACTCATAAGTCATCCTTTCAGTTTTCAAGGAGCCACTCATGTGTCAGAAAAGATGGGAACCCACATATCCATGGTGCTTGTGAAAGTGGGGATGAGCTTAGTTGCAAGAGTGTTGGGAATTTTGGCCATTGCTGTGAGGACGGGGAAACTAACAGCAATGTCCATGAGAGTGATGAGCAGACTGACTTTCCTGAGGAGAGTGTGACTGAGAGGGAAAACTTAAGCACGCCCACCAAGGAGCGAGTAGTTTTGGTGGAGAAGGAGGGCTGCGCCACAGTAGTGATGTACCCAGAGCGTCACTCAGCACACATTCTTTTGGCTGATGGAAGCATCATCACTGGAAACAACAAAGGAGAATATGAGGTGTGTGATCTACAGTTGATATTTACGTTCAGTGTTAATATGACCAAAATATGAAGTGAAAAGGAAGTGTTTAAGGGAATATCTCTTGAATCTGAATAAGAATGTCTGTTCTGTGAGATGTTGTTTCTCAATTTTGTCTTCAGAATGAATGACTCATATCCATTTGTGCTTTTGTTGTTGTGCAATTGTGTGTAAGGTTTTTCCATCCAGTGCTGGATTCCTGCAGATCCAAAACGATGGAAAGTGTGTGTACTCTTCCTACCCACTGGTAGCCTCCAGTGCAAAGCATGGTGCCACCAAAAAGCAAACAGGCATTTACACAATGAGTCACATAGACAAAGTGGCTTGTGATATTATGGATGCTGATGGGAACCACTTCCAGGTTTGTCTCTGTGACTATCTGTGGATAAATCAAGCTGTCTCTCAGGCTATGAAATGGGCCAGTGCTGGGTGATTCTAAAACAAACCGAAAAAAACAGTATTGTGTTGTGTGGTGCCTTAGAAAGATTAACAGGATGTGTTACAGGTGATGGAAGATGGGCAGATATCTGTGCTCAGCATGAATCCTGCTCCACGCACTCCTAAACACGATATAGAAGAGGAGGAAAGAGAAATGGGAACAGTTTCTGCAAAAAACAAAGATCACTGTCCTAGGTGGATTTCACTCAGACCTGAAGCCATAATATCAGTGATAGTAAAAAAAAGTGGAGCATGGTTCTGCGTTTAAAGGGTAGCATTGTTATTGACAGTCTGAAAAACTCATGTAGGCTATTTTTGGTGGACGAGGATGGTTCAGGCACTGAGCTGTTGAGTTCTCATACTGTGGAGGAGCTGCTTCACCAAGCATGCTCTGACCCCACCATCGCATTGCTGACAGAATCACTGCCAGACAAGCAAGGTACACATAAAGAAACTGTAATCCATAAAGTTAGTACTTTTCAGCAAAACAAATCAGAGGGGATCATTGAACAAGAGTTTATTTCTAATCAATCAACATTTTCTTATGTGTGAATTCCTCTTCAAGATGAGTTTGGTATCACTATCTTAAAACCCAGCCCGCAGAATGTGTGGTTCCAGTGGATGTTAGAGAAACAAAACCCTAACATCACCCCTCCCAACCTCAGGAACCGTAGCTGGCATGACTTCCCTCCAGTGGAGGTACAGATATTCTAACTTATATGATGTACATGCAGACATTGGCTGATGGTAAAAGTTGTTTTTCTCTCTATTCCAGAAGATTATGCCCGGTCCCGCATTTGGTACCAATGTAGGGGTTGGTTTGACTCTGACAGAGAGGTGTGGTGGCTCTGAAGCAAAGCACCAACTTGTCAGGAGCTGCCCTAAAGTCTTGGAGATAAGGGAACTTTGCCAGCACCAACCATTCACCACAGCAATCAAAAATACTGTGGACATACGACTGAAAGTAAAACTATGCATCCTCTTTTTCATGTCAAAAATATTTTAATGGAATGATTTTTTAACCTGTGTAAAATAATGCAGCAATCTCTGAAAAACATCTGACTTTGGTTACCTGAATTGTGACTTTTGGAGATGACGAGTGTTGGGATGTTTCTATAGGAATACATTGAGAGTTTGATGGAGAGAGAACAGCTATCAGAAGAGATGAAAGTGAAAGACCCCCGATCTGAGGAGGAGGTTGACCATGCCAAAAATCTCTTCACTCTTATACTGGTGAATGCATGCACAATAATGCATGCCCACACACATACACACTTCACCAAAGAGAAGTATAATCAATCATATAAATAATACCAGTTTTTTTAGCTTTCATAATGAACTGTAAGATTGTATTATTATGATCTTTACGTACTTATGAGTGAAATCTGAAATAAACAAGCCTATTTATACAATGATGAAACAGAAAAAAATGCACTTAGCAATGCACTTTGTAGTCTTTTGCAGATGAAGATGATATAAGTCAGTCCTCTGATACCAGGATTTCAGGTGGGAAACACAACTAGTTGTGCACTTCATTTTGTATATTTTTGTTTATTAGTTTCAGAAAGCAGAAAACATTGTGGAATATCTGTTTTTTTTCCCCTTATTATCTGCAGTGGATGTAGCCAGTCTGTACAGCCAAGGAGTCGGAGCATCAGCTGTGCAGTCTGATGTTACAGAAGACACAAATACACAGGCCAGTGATGGTTTGGAGAGAGCACAATGGTACAATACTTCTAAAAACAAAATGGCAGAAAATACATTTGAAAGTCCTTTAATATCCTTTTAATTTCATTTCTCTATCAGTTTTTCTAACAGAAATGATTTGAAATGGACTGAAAGACTTGTTAAATACAGGTAAACTGAATGTATGCACACGTCTTCCATCCTCACAATTGAACAAACCTTTTTAAATTGATCAATTTCAGTATTTACTCCAACAATAAAAATAAGTGTTTTGAGATGGTCAGATGCATTGTTTAGAAAATCAGTGGAAACATTTTGTATGTTAGTTTTTAGTTCTCCCTGAAGGACTCCACTGGTGCTTTGATCATAGCTGCATTGCTAATAAAAAGGTTTAAGAAATCAGAAAACTGTAGACCCATTATTATTAAAACTGTATTGGATTCCAGTTGCTGTTAATCTATATCTAAAGGTTATTTCTTGCATGTTTATTTTAGACAGGAAATCAGCGATGAAAGGACTCAAAGGGAGGCTCTGAGGAACAAAACTGTTGTTCCTTATTTCCATCAAGAGAACATTCCATTATATGCAGTACTACATATTCCGATTTCATATACCATCAATATTTTTTATACCATTTTAGGGTCAGATTATTTGGGAAAACAAAGCTGTGTTGTTACCCTGTTTATCCAGAATCTACTACATCACCAAACGCCTGATATGGGAAATTTGTCCATGGATATCTCACTGATTCCAAAGTCAGACTGTCCTCAGGCCACTGATGAAGAGGAATCACAACAGAGCAGTAAGTTACTGTTGATTCAGAATTAATCGAAGGAAACAAAACTGAACTCATTTTAAAATGCACCCTTTGTGATATATACTCATATGTACCCGCTGATGCTTATTTTAATGAATCTTTTTCTCCATGTACATTTATAATGTTATATTTGTTACCACAGCTCCACGACCTTTAAACCCAACTCCGTCCAAGTCTGAGAGGTAATTATAGATTTCCCTTAAGGGATATCTATGTGTTCATTTCTTTTAGGCAAAGGATTGTAGGGCATAACCGGAAATCTCTGTCTTTTGCACCTTACACTATTACACTCAACTTTAAAGATGTGTTTTGTCTTTAGTCATGCAGCAGTAAGTGACAGGTTAGCTGAACAGAGACCCACTAACCCCACACCACAGACTGCTGGTACGTTTCCCTCACTTCTGGTTTACTGAAATGTTTCAGAATGATTTTTAGTCATCCCATTCTGTTCCCTAATAATTTCTTACAATGTTTTTTTGTGTTTGGTTTAATTAAGAATCCTAGAGCCAAAGGGAAAAATCTGTGACTGCACTGAATGTTGTTTTTTGTTTTTGTAATCCCTGTCAAGGCGAAAGCAGTCTGATATCAAGGAAATGTAAGCCAACCCAGGTGGATGTTACTGGGAAGCCCAGGCGTACTGCAGTCAGGCTACCAGCCTGCATCCTCAGCTCTAAACCATGCAGTGTACCAAATCAACATGTAAGGACATTTAACTAAGAATTCAGACATTTGAAACACATCTTTAGATGTGCAGACCTCATATCCAGAAAAAATGGGAAATTTTCTTAATACAGTGAAAAGTTATATCTGTAATTTGTGAATTTGTTTGGGGCTTTATTTAACAAACGCAAATCCACATAGATACACTTCATTTAGATTAACTTTATTGTATTTAATAAATGGAAACTTGTTTTAAATTTGACAAAACAATTCAAATCTCTCTACTCAAACAATCTTTCTGACTTTGACATTTAGATTTCTCCTCCAACTTCCGAACCTTCTGAATATGCTATTATAAAAACATTCCAAATAATGTTCTTTCCAGCCTTCTTTTTAAAAAGACATTAACAGTGTCTGATGGAATTCACTACAAATGTGGTGAGCTATTACCCATCCTTGCTTGGAGGGACAAAGCATTTGGTTGATGCCTCTTTTATACCCACCTCTGGCACTCTTAACCTCGACAGATTGAAGCATCCAGGATGGGTATTTGATTTTCACAACGTCGTCTGTCTTTCTTGGCCTGCCTTTGTCATTTTTATTAAATCCATTATTGGTGTCAAATTTGCTGACTTTCTTAAAACTGTACTCATAACTTTGCGTGTGTCTTTTGTTGTAGTTCCTGAAAGTGGAGGAGCCGGTTAGGAGGAAGTGTCGGACGATTTCTCTATCTGATGCGGGTACGATATTGAGGGGCTTCCAGCTTCACCCGTCAAGCGTTGACTTCGGTATGCAGCAGATGGGCACTTCTGCAACCATCAGTGTGGTCATGAGGAATGTGGGTGTTGACACATGCAGGTAGGACACCAAACTACAAATGGAGGGACGGAAAAAGACAAGATTTTGTTTCAAATATATGGCAGTGAACAGGGTTATGAGTTTAGATGCACCTTTAAAGATAGTTTCAAAGTTATTTTTCCGATCAAATAAGAATGAGGGCTGTATTTAGGTGAAAGCTATTTGTGAGTCACCTTCAAGTCTCAAGGGAAAGCTTTGACCTGTGACTATTTGTGATTTTTTTTGTCAAACGGTCACTGCCAGGTTCCACGTAAAACAGCCTCCTCCTGCCACAGGCCTTCGTGTCATCTATAATCCTGGCCCTGTAAGTTTTCTTCTGGATGTTATGTATGCTTAATAACACATGATGGATATATACTGTTGAAACTCCACAAAAATGTTTTAAACAAGGCAGTTCATTTTTATCCTTAGATATATATGTTCAAACTTACACCACTGAAAATAAAAAAACTATATTTGTGTGTGGTCTGTGTAGGTGCCGGCAGGTTTGAGTGTTGAATTGAAGGTTCAGCTGTTTGCAATGTGTGGAGCACAGGCAGAAACTGAGCAAAAGAAGCACGTCTCCCAGGATATTATCATCCATACTGAGACAGACATCCTCTATCTGCCAGTCACGGCTAATATCCTTCCATCACCTCTGTATACATGAACCATATTAGCGAAGACTATTTATATTTGAAGTAAAAATACATTTAGTTACAAATTACTTTATCGCAGATTAAATGTATTTGTAGAGGTAACCTGCAGTGATGTTGGTTCTTACATAAATTCACCCATCCTTTCTGTGGGCCTGATTGATAAGGAACAAAGCAGAACACAGGAAAAGAGAGGCTCCAAAGCCTTCCAGCCTTGAGTTATTACAGAAAATCGCACACAGATTAGCCAACACACTTCTGTTCTGTCTTCTCGTCAAAGCAGGTCAGTATCACACAGTCAAATACAAGCTAAAATCTTCACGGCTCAGTATCAGTATGACTCATCTGTTTCTCTTTGCTCATTTCAGGACATATAAATGACAACACTTCAGTCTTTTTTCAGATTTAGTTAATTCAATGTCTGTTTTAAGTCTTGATTTTGTTATAAGCAATAAAATCTTTAGAAATATTTTTTTTCTTGGTTCTGCATTTTTATACTTTTATTCGTATTTAATGTTTTTGCTGACTTGTAGTGTGTGCTTTAATTACAATGTTTTAAGAAGTCTCTCTTCCTATATCTCTCAACCTTTTTCTTAGATAACTTTTTGTTTAATCGTATATATTAACTAAGAAATAAATAATTAGACATATCACAAGAATATGTAGATTCAACAGTTTTCCATTTGGCTTATATCATAGTTTATATCATCATGAAACCAGCAGTGAGGCACAGTGACCTTAGTGCTGTGTTGTCAAATGACCCAATGATTTCAACTGAGAGCTGTGTCTAAATGAGGTGAAATATCTTGTAGTCTGGATGAATAGAATGTTGAATGGTTATTTGCTTCTGTGTTCGTGCTCCTATCTCTGAATTTGTGTAAATCATTTGACTTCACTTCGCCTTCTTCACTCACATCTTGAGGATCACATATGTGAGAAATGAAAAGGGTGGGTGGATGGTTATATAATTAAACTGCTGGCACCTACACAATGTGCTAACTAATGAGGTGTCGCTTTGTGGCTGTGCGGGAGTCGAGCTCACGCGCCTTTACGTACTCAGGTGACAGAAGGAGGTGGGGATGTTGGTGTATTACGTCAGCGGGGATCCGATGGAAGGTGCAGCTTCGTGCAAACTCATTTAAACAAGGACGGTCAAGCTTGCTGCCATTTCTCTTTTGCTTGTCTGGACTCTCCTCTTAATAACCAGCTAAGTCGGTGAAATTCTTGATTCGTGGCCAGCTGAGTCTCCTTCACTGTCGGTCACGCGCTCTCACGTGCACATATGCACCCTCCTCAGGCTCTCCTACCACGAGAGGCATCCGCGTTACGGTAGACTGGGGGAGTTCGGTGGTGGTGGGGGGGGGGGGGGGGGGGGGGGG